GAAAATGGGAAAATGCCATTCCTGTAGGAATGGAAATGGGATTCCAATTCTGCCCAACCAAATAGCTGAAATCGGAATAACCCATTCCAATTCCGATTCCAGACCCCTATTCCTATGAACCAAATTGGACCTCAGATTTGATTCACATATAAAGTGATTAAAAAACATGAAAAAAAAAAGAAAAATTATTGGCTGATATGTTGTCATACTCCTCTAACAAACTCATTACTATAGCTTGAGCATGGTTAGCTGCTGAAGTAGCCTACATAAGTTGAACAAAACTATTGCCACCTAAACAAAAATCACTTTCAAGCTCACAATCTATTACTAGAAGGGGAAGAAGAAGTACATGTGTCGTGCTAGCTTCCACTATAACCACAGGTGTTTGGACCAAGCACTATGTGGTTGAGATCAAGTAACACAGGTCTTGATAGAGCCCCAGGTGTTTTACTTGAGCTCCACCAAGACAAACCAAGGTCTAGGTGTCTCAAGATATGACAAATGTTCTACGTCTGTTTGACACGTACACACTTTGACAGGTATCCCGAATTCTATTTAAAGGGCATGTTAGCATTTAATTTATGATTTTATGACTCACTGAATTCTCAAACCACCCTGTGGATAATTCGTTTACTAACTTGATCGTCGAAGCTACAAGCCCGGGATATCACCCTGGGCTCTTTGACCTCATCTCTTCCTTACAGGGTACATCTGAGCTCTTCCAGAGACTTCACCACTTTTCAATGGCATCACTAGTATTGCCAAGATAATGGGAAAAATATTTGTAAGGGGAGGTATTTGTCTAATGAAGCTTATAGACATATAAGTACTAGCAATTAAAAGAATAATATTGGGTCTATGAAAATATTTAACCACAACAGGTCACATTATAGACACCCTATTTTTGCACCCTTCAAACCTTTTGCAACACTTTAAGCTTCAAATATGCTTCAACTAATCTCTTAGCCGACCTAGGAGCATTTTTGGAATTTTACAAAAGTTAAGGCCTAAAAAATCCAAAACTATAGGTACATAGAGTCAAAAAATCCAAACCCAATGACACCAAGATCACCCGAATCCAATAGAGTTTACGCCTTCATCCTAAGAGCCGAAGCCAAAATCGATTCTGATCGTCCAATCAAAGTCATTTTGATCTTGAACCCCATTTAACGTCAAACCCGAAATTCAGAACCATAGGTACATAGAGCCCAAAAATCCAAATCGAATGGCACTAAGATCACCCGAATCCATAACTGTTTACCCCTTCATCCTAAGACCCGAACATAAAATCAATTTTGATCGTTTGATCAGAGCCATTTTGATCCTAAACCTCATTTCACGTCAAATCAGAAATCCAAAATCATAGGTACATAGAGTTCAAAAATCCAAATCCAACGACACAAGATCACCTAAATCTGACACCATTTACCCCATTCATCCTAAGACCGAAAGCCAAAACTAATTTTGATCATCTGATTGGAGTCATTTTGATCCTGAACCTCATTTCACATCAAATCAAAAATCCAAAACCATAGGTACATAGAACCCAAAAATCCAAATCTAACGAGACCAAAATCACCCAAATTCAGCACCGTTTATCCCCTCATCCTAAGATTTGAAGCCAGAATTGATTCCAATTGTCCGATCGGAGTCATTTTGGTCCTGAACCTCGTTTCATGTCAAATCAGAAATTCAAAGCTATAGGTACATAGAGCCCAAAAATCCAAATCCAACGACACAAGATCACCCAAATCCGATACTATTTACCCCTTCATCATAAGACCCGAATCTAGAACTGATTTCGATCGTCCGGTTGAAGTCATTTTGATCTTGAACCTCATTTCATGTCAATTCAAAAATCCAAAACCATAAACACGTAGGTCACAAAAATCCAAATCCAATGACACCAACATCACCTAAATTTGATAACATTTACCCCTTCATCTCAACACCCGAAGCTGAAACTGATTTTGATCATCCGATTGGGATCATTTTGATCCTGATCCTCATTTCACACCAAATTAAAAATCCAAAACCATAGGTACGTCAAAACCCAAAAATCAAAATTCAACGACACCAAGATCACCTAAATCCGACACCGTTTACCCCTTTATCCTAAAACCCGAAGTCAGAACCAATTTTGATCATCCGATCTGAGTCATTTTGATGCTGAACGTCATTTCACATCAAATTAGAAATGAAAAATCATATGTACGTAGATCTCAAAAATCCAAATCCAACGGTACCAAGAACGTCCAATTCTGACACTGTTAACCCCTCTATCTTGAGGCCCAATGCTAGACTTTATCCGAGCCTTCCGTTTGGAATCCCCTTCACTACAACTTTGAGCCTAAGGCATCCCACGATCAGAAGTTCCTCCCAGCCTCTAGAACCACCTTAAATCCCAAGATTTGATCAGCTAGAGCCTCCAATCAATCAAGCCAATCACCTAAACTTAGAATGTCCAATTTAGGTAAATTGGTGAAGTCTTCCACTTATTGTCTTAATTAATTGAGAGGATCTCTCTCAAAGCTGTATAAATAGCCCCTTTTCTCAATCAATCTCCCTCCAAAATCCCTTTAACCCTCTGCTATTGATCTTCCTTGGATCTCTATCTCAGCCCTTCATTCCCTTCTCAAAAATCTATAAATACCCCCATTTTTCACATTCAAAGACACAATCTAGCTTAAGGAGAGAGCTCTGCCCCCATTACCCTAGAAAGTACCCCTTTATGTCCCAAAGCCTCCCCACTCACAGTCTAACATCCTTAGAATCCCTCCATACATGTTTGAGAGCAAAAAACCTCTTGAAATCAAGTATACTTCTAAGCAAAGAAAGATAAGCATTCTTGAAGTAAAGATCATGTAGAAAAAATTAGAATTATCCAGCATTTTTCCCAACATTTTGGCTACATAACCAATGTCTTTGAAGTTTTACATTTCCAGTGACTGAGAATTCATGTTGAATCCAAGGAGTCTCTCATGAAGGACATAACAAGGGCACCTGTCAAGGTCGAAATTGTTGAGGGAAGCTATGTAATGATAAAATGGGAGAGGCGATTCTTACTTTGTGAATCGTTATTTAATTTTAGTGCATTGTTTTCACTTTTAAGTCTAAATTCCTTCCATATTGGAATCGTTAGAATTTCATGTCAATCATTTCTAAATTAATTGTCCAAGAAATGTCTACTACCATTTTCTTGAAAATTGCATTAGAATAGATGTTGTTCATGTTTTCCTTAGAGAATTCAATTCAGTCTTTTTTTCTTTTTCAATCAAGCATCTAAGTGGGTCCCCTTTTATTTTAAATTTTATTATCATTATCCCATTTGTCTAATTAGCTTCCTACATTTGCATTGCATATTTAGGTAGTTCCATCCGTACTTTGTTACCTTTGTATATTTTGCAATTTTGCATAGCCCTGACCTATCATATCACATTAAGTTTTCAGTTCATATTCACATTTAATTTATTTGTGTTAGAATTAGAATTAGGTCATTTTAATTTTAATTAATTACATGTCATTTGCAAACTTAGGATTTTGCTCAAGCTGTTATCATAATACAACTATTTTTTTTCTTCCATTTAGCTAGTCTTTTTAGCATTAGCTTAGAACTTGACAATACTTTTTTCAGCATTCCTCATCTTATGATTTAAATAGGGTTATTTGTCAATTATTATTTTTTAGTGATATTAATTGTTCTTAGTTGCTTTATTCCCAGCATTATTATTTATGTACAGTTTCTTGCTAGTTTATAGATTTTGCATTTAACATTTCATATCTTGATGGCATATAGTAGGTTTCATCCATTAGTCACAAATTTCAGTTATTTTTGCAAATAATTAGTTTGTTAATTTATTAACCCACTCCATCATTACTATTCTAATTGTTCAAATGCATCGCTTAGTTAATTGATTAAATGCTTAGAACTTCCTCTTTTCTTTCTAGATTTCAATTGCTTAGTTTAGTGTGTGTTTTATTTCTAAGCCCAAAAATTATGAAAATTTTCTTGGAAATTGGTGAAAAGGTCCGCTTAACCAGGCACTTGTGGGGTGTCTAACACCTTCCCACACCAAAGAATCCCATCCCCATTTGACAATGAGTCACCAAGAAAAAAATATTTTTCTTGAAAAATCCGAAGTTTTCCTAAATTCCCATTTTCAAAAATTTAGGTGACGACTCCAAATTTCAATCCCTATTCTGCCCCCCTCCAAGTTGGGTAGCCATACACATGTAATTGGATTTTAACGGATAACTAACAGAGGGGAGGTTTGAATTTATTACTTAATTAATAATTATGTAATTATTTATTTTAAATATATGAATTAATTAATATTTAATTCCTTAAAAATATTTACCAATTTATAATTTTTATTATTTTCACTATTTATTGATTAGTTTATATTCATTTAGGTCATTTTAAGTAGTTAAACAAACTATCTAATAGCTAAGGTTAAAATGGACAATTATTATTTTTAAAAACTCAACATTCAAATTTTAGAATAACATTCTTCATATTTAAGCTTTAGAACCAAGAAAAGTTCAGCAACTCCAATACACACATAAGAAGAATAGATTGATTGTCTACAAAATTATGTGGATTTAAAATAAATAATTAAAAAAGGAAAAAATTAAAAAAAAAGAAGAAAATTTGAATGAGGATTTTGAAGCAAAAGCAATACATATGGCATGGCTCAATTGTTTTTTGGATATAGTAATAAATAGAATATTTCATTTATTAGTTATAAACTTTCTATAATTGGATGCAAACTTTCTATTATTTCATTTATTGCTTAAATCTGCACCAAATCTAATTATTATTTGGATGCAAGTTGTAACATCTGAATGTAGGATAATTCACACATTATTTTCTAAGTGTACACTCGCTTGCAATAAAATTGCAAAACTTGTATCTCTTATAATGGAAACTTAGAAGTCTATATATGATCATCAAAAAGATATGAGAAAACATAGTAAAGTAATGGAGATAACTTACAACTCTATGCTCTATGATTCAAATATTCAGAGTCCAGATTGATTGGGTAGAGGTCATGGGCAGAAGTTGAAGGCCCAGTCCAAGGTGCATCATTCAACATTCTTTGGGTCTGGCTCTCATTGATGCTACAATCTTGGTTCTGTTGAAAATAATTCATCAAATCCTTGTACTTCTCTTCATCATTGAAGAGACTTGGGTCTGAGACAAACTCCTGAACAGGGACTCGGCCTTCAAGCATCCTCACCACAACAGACATGGGTGGCCTCAATTGAGAACATGCATTGGTGCACAAGAGAGCCACATTAATCATGGCCATAACCTCTTCCTTACTGAAATCTAGTCCCAACCATGGATCCACTAGATCCATCAAATTTCCCTTCTCTTTCAGAATAAGGGCCTAGCAAATATTTGAAGAAAAAACAACAAGAAAGCATAAGCCTGTAACTAATCTGATTAAAAACTTGTATAATGAAGGATAAATATTTTTTATCAATTAAGAAAGTCTGAATTACCCAATCAAGAAGATAAATACGTTCCCCCTTTGGCCTGAAACTAGTGTTCGACCTCCCACTAACAATTTCCAAGGCAACAACTCCGAAACTGTAAACATCTGCTTTGTCTGTCAAGTAGCCCCTCATTGCATACTCCGGTGCCATGTATCCACTATAAAGTGAAGATTATCAAATAACATATTATCTATACGTGAGAATGTGAGATAAACCCATGAAGTTATAGCAGTTATTACTTCTCTTTTTTTGATATATTTTTGAAGGGCTAAACAATGGGTTTAGGATCGATCAACTTTAACCTATTTATAGACTTAAATGTAGAACTTTAGAGACCCTTTTGGGCCCCAAAGATGGAAGATTCCATTTCCTTTTTTCTTGCCTTTCTCACTAAGACATAATGAAAAGAACTCACAACTATAAATGATGAAGACAAAATGTGTAGTGTTATAACTCACAAAGTTCCAGCAACTCGAGTGCTTATGTGAGTGTTCTCCTCATCATCAAGCTTGGCCAAGCCAAAATCAGATATCTTTGGGTTAAGATCCTTATCAAGAAGTACATTAGTAGCTTTGATGTCCCTATGAACAATCTTCAATCTTGACTCTTCATGAAGATAAGTCAAACCTCTTGCAATCCCAACACAGATCTTATACCTAGTTGGCCAATCGAGTTTCAGTTGGTATTCTTCTGGGCCTTCACATCATCAAATTTACAAAATTCAGAGTTATCTACTGTATGTGCCATGAAGAAGAAGAAGAAGAAATAGAAGAATGAAGTCAAGCAAACAATGCCGAACTTACCAAACAAGGCACGAGCAAGACTATTATTTTCCATGTATTCATATACCAGCAATAATTGATTTCCTTCAATACAACATCCGTAAAGCTTTACAAGATGAGGGTGTTGCAGTGCAGAAATCATGCCTATCTCATTGACAAATTCACGATTCCCTTGCTTTGATTTGGAAGAAAGTTGCTTTACTGCTATTATAGTCCCATCTGATAAGAGTCCCTACATTTGAATAATAAACTAATAATGTATAGTTCCTTCTACATAACATTTACAGGAGACATGTAGATTTTTATGAAATTGAGAGTAATAGATTATGACAATATCATCTTATGTAGAATACCTTATAAACTGACCCAAAACCACCCTCTCCAATCTTATTTGCCACATGAAAATTGTTTGTTGCAGCTTTAATTTGCCTTAGTGTAAAGGATCCGGTTTGTAGATCCAAGCCTCTCAGATCTGTTAAGAAAGCAAAACTATATGTGAGATGTGTCTCAAATACAAAAAAGGTGCTATTACCAAGGAAAACAAAAGGACCCTATTAAATTGCATTATCCATAATCATGATATCCAAGATTATGTCACCGGAGGCATGAAAGAAAAGAAGAATGTAAATAGAAAGTAATTAAGTCGTAATGACCTTGCATTTTTGAATTTTGAAATTGTTATTAAGTCTTATATGTAGTATACAAATTATAATATTTTATTGAAGGAGAAATTGGATTTACAACATATAATCAATTAGATTTCTGAAAAGCACAAAAGCAATATTTAAAATGGATAAAGGAAATTTCAGTAGGATATCAAAAGCTAAAGTTGAATAGTTCCTGTTAGGCTGCTACAATCATTATTAATTGTTTTATGACAATAGCATTTGTTACTTTTTTCTTAATTGTTTTTTTTTTCTAATAAAGTACTAATTACCTTTTCAATCCATTTTGCTACGATTTCATTATTGGTTAAATCATACCTTTGTCTATTGTGTTTTTGCATCCTAGATAGCCTGTCCACCAAAGGATACCCAAAACCAAGAAGATAAAGGCTAACACTGAAATCACAATTCCAGCAACAACACTTGCCGATACCTTTTCACCTTCTGAAGGGATTGGGAAGTCTGCAAGAATAAACAATATCAGATTCATGCATACCGGATTGTTGAGAGATGAATGTTTCATAAGTATCACCAAATTTTTGAAAGTTGCATGATATTGATAAATGTTGTGTTGATAGGAATTGATAAATCAATTGTCAGAAGAACCATAATTATTGGCTAACTTGAAATAAAAATCCAAACCATAGGCAAGCAGTCATCATGTCTATCAATACAGATCACCTTCCCTTCATAACCAGTGTTCATTTCTTTAATTTTCACTTTATTGCTGTCTTGATTGTTATGGAGACTTGAAAGGATAAAACCCAAACTGATTTGGCTTTTGTACAAATAAATGCAGATGGGAATTACTTCTCCTTTTATGAATTATTAGTGGGCACTTATGCGATGCACGAGATTTGTCAAGAGAAAGTGAGACAATAGAAACTGATAACTATTATAACAAAGGAATCTATATTTGTTTAAAATAATAAATCTTTATTTTAGTGATTTGTTATAAAAATAATTTAGTAATTTGGTATGCTAGTGCTTTATTTTATTTATTTTACTTTATTAATGTTAAATGTTACAATTTGTTTTATAAATATTACTTAAATATTTAAAATACATAAATATTAGTAAAATATATGAAATTAGGTTGTAGTCATAATTAAATTAATCCAAGCCTATGCCTAAGCTTGAGGTTTAAGACTTCAGGTTGAGTTTTGGTTGATCCTCAACTTGATCCAACTCCCTAAGTTACACCACTAAGAGCAATGTATCATTCATAATTTGACTGAACCAAACTAAGTACAACCCATGTATGCATTAATTTTAGATATTTAACTATTTCAAGATGAAAACCATTAATGTTGAGGCCAAAGGAGCTATGATGGATGGGATACCTCCATTGTGTAGCCTAATGGACAAAAATAAATATATAAAATACCTCAAGCCAGATTTTTATAGTGTATTAGCAATTTTTAAGGTTGCTTGGTAACCCAGCCCACACCCCAAGTGTAATAATATTTGTCAAGGATCAAGATATGGACAAGTTTCCCTATGTTAATTTCTAGGGGTTTTGGGTTTCTTAGCTTGGGCTCTGTCCATTAGGTCTATCAATGGACTCTAAAAGTCTAATACCCGATTCGACTCTAAATTATTTAATTATCCTAAATTTGGATGTTAGAACTTGCATTTGATTATTAATCAGATTAGATGCGGATTTAACCCCATCCGATCCAACTAAAACCCTAGTTCAATAAAAAATTATTATTTTATGTATACATGTAGTATAATTAGGTATACATATAGATATTATGTATAATTATATAAAGTTTGTAAGTGATAAATTTGATATTTTATTTTTATATACATTTATTATACATATATACTTTAAAAATAATTAGTTTCCTAAAACTTTTTAAAATTTTTTGTCAACTTAAATACAATAAGATGGTTATATACAAAATCCAAATTTGATCCAAAATCTTACATAATAATTGGATGCAAATGCGAATCTAGAGATTTCATAATCGAATGCTAATGTAGATGCAGATGTAATCAGATCCAATATGAATCTAATTCGTTTACAATTGGGTAGGTCTATAGGAATGGCAATGGGGTAGGTTCGAGGTAGGGACCATACTCTTTGTTTTCAACCCCGACTTTGAAACAAATCCTCCCTATCCCCAACCTCGACCCCTATTGGGTATAAGAATCCCTATAATCAGAGTTGGGTGGGACAGGGAATTCACTCCCCATCCTCTTCCTTGTCTTTGGTCAGTATCACTATCAACCCTTGTTCGTGCCCTCTTTTTTTAAATAAATAAAAAATTATTTTATTTGTAAATCCTCTTGTCCCTGCCAAGCATCCTCAACCCCATCAAAAGTTGGGGGAGCCAGGTACCTGACGAGGATGAGGAAAATATCATCCATATAGGTCTAGTTGGGTCAAAATAAGTTATTAATGATCATCCTTAAGTAGGAGTCTTATGACATTTATAATTGGGCCATTATTAATTTGATTATTTTAATTAATTTTTAAATGGAATGCAGATGGTTTATTTTCTTATTTTTAATATTTTTTATTATCAAAATTTTATTAATATATTATTATTATTATTTTAGTTATTAATATTTTATTGTATATATTATTGTATTTAATAATTAATACTAATAAATGGGATTTGTTAAGGGAAAGTGAATTATATTTTAATAATATTTTATATTTTATTAATATTAGGGTTGGGTTTTTTTGTTTTTGTTCTTTATTCTGTTCCACTCTCCCTCTTTCTCTCTCTCTCTTTAATAGTATAATATATTGATAATAGTGTACATCTTTATTGGTGACATGATATGATTGTCTAATTAAAATTGGCAATGATTATTTTTAATATTTTTAAAGCAAAAGAAAATAAGAAAAATGCAAAAAAGGAGAAACCTGGCATGCATTGTTTTATTAGCTTTGTGATGGCCAAGCCCTTGTTATGTTAGCATTTTCCTGACGACAATTAATTTAGTTTATTGTTTGAGTTGGCCTTGAATTGTAGATTATAGAAATTGCCTACAAGATATTAAAAAAATAAAGATGATGAATAGGTACCATTTAAGTCAAAGCAGTCAGTAATTGTAGCATACTTTTAGTGCATAGAATGTGTCTCCTATCTCCTCTCTAGATCAAAGTACTCAGGCAAACCACTATTAAAAGAGGAAGCCATGGAAAAGCATTCAACTTACTAGGCTCCACGGAGATAGCTGATACCAAGGGACCATAAACTCCTCTGTAAGGAATTGAAGTTGTCCCTTTTCCAGCCCAATAGAAGTGAATTTCCAAAGTTCCATCTGTTACATTAACCTGGTCAAGGGTTTCTATGATTGGCTTGCCTGCTCCACCTGCTTTATCTGCTATATTGAAATCTTCCAGTACCAATTGTCCCTGTAGTAAAATAATTACAGTCAGACCTACCATATATGATATATCTCTATACTGAATGATTAATTAACATCTACCTGAATATAAACATCAAATACACGCCTAACAAGGCTGCTGTAATTTCTTTCATTGGTAAACATGATTTCTGCGAAGTGGAGTTTGACTTTGTAACTTCCATTCTTCATACAATAACCATAATATGTGAGAGAGATCGGAGAAATACGAGCTGACTTGTACAGAAGAGAGTCTTGTGAGTTGTTTAAGAGGCTATATGTATCTGTTGCTGTAAAGGTATTTTTAATGTTTTCAGTACCATCTATGAAGTAACCAGTGTTGCTAAGTGCCCATACATCTTTACTTGACGAAGTCATTGGATAAGAAATTGAAGGACCATCTTTATTTGGAACTTCAGCTGCATATGTAATATGCCCTATGGTTTCTTCTCCTCCACCACAATTTATATGGAGTTGGTATCCATCTAGAACAAAAGCAACAACACTTTAGTAATCATAGGATATAACCAAAATCAAGGTTAACACAAAATTAAAACCACATCTAGCTTTGTATTTTACTGCACTTCAGATCTCCCCACATGGGCATGGATTAGTTGCAGTTCAAGATTGTGACTATAGGAGCATTCTTTTAAGCCAATCTAGCTACCCTTAAAAATAAATTTGTGTCCTAAGCACGATTTATTATTTACCAATTAAACATGCACAATGGGTCAAATTGTAAATGTTCCCTACTTGATAGGTATCCTAAAATGAAGTAGTATATGAATGATTTGAACCACCTGAACTTTATGAATTTCATTTCGAATATTTATGAGAGGTTTATTAATATTATTAAGTATTTTTCATTTCTTATGATATGAGAACATTTAGAACATCATATTAATTTTAAAATTTTACTTTGGCTAATTCTTACATGAATATATAGCTAACTTGTCATTGTAGCCAAATTCATCCTTTACACACATCTAGGTTGTGTTTGGTACCATTGCTCTTTCTACCTAAAACGTTTTGGGTTGATTATACAAACTAGTAAGAGATATGTGTGTCATTCACTTACATATGAAAGCTAGTGAGGTATTAATTAGAATGATTAGAATTCAACTCTTGGAACAAGAAACGTCAATTTAACATTTCTATAAACAACCTCCGATACTTGCATTTTTAGGGTATGTTGTTTCAACTATAAAAATCCTCAAAAAATAGTTGTATGCCAATTTGTATTGATCAATCCAAAGCATTTTTCGTAGAAACAATAAAGATACCCAACACAACCCTAATTATGGATGATGCAAATTAGGCTATTATTATAGAAGGTGGTGGTTTTGGGGGGAACGGGCTTACTAAAATCAAATAACAAATTTGTGATCCAATAAAAACAAGCATCAATATATATTCTAATTTCAATAGCGTATACTTACCTCGTTTACAGGGAAGTTCCTGGTGGCATAGAACAGTTGCGCTTCTATATCATTATGAGGTTAAAAATAACTCAGTGTCATGATATTCTACATGAACTCTTTTTAGCTAATAAAAAGCTACACGATGAAGACAATCCACAGGTATTTCTTCAGTTTTTCTAAAACCCATGATTTAATTCTCTAGTAAAGAAAAGCTCAAACTTACGAGTTTTTCCCCAAAAAATAGCTCCGAAACAAATTCCTGAGGAAGCAGTATAAAAAGCTAAACCTTAGCAACAAATTAAGCACATAAAGTTGGAAATTCCAGTAAGAGAACGTCAAAATAACATAGAAGCTAAGTGTTCTTACTTATCCGGTTGGCAATAACTACTTTCCCCTTGACTATCCAATGTAAAATTATTGAAAGAGAGATCTCTGCATTTCAAAGTGGAAAAGAACAATTATTTTCATGAGAGAAAGATTAAAAAAGATGGTGTTATGTAAGTTATTAATAGCCTTTAGTTTTATAAGACTGATATTTTATTTTATTTATTTTTTTACGGGCATCAAGTATATATGATACTATTACTATTAAGAAATTGGAAAGAGAAACTTACATGTTTTTTCCTTTATCCAGCATCCAGGAAGGAACATGACCATTTAGCAAGTTTCCAGTTAGAAATCTAAACATAAGCCAAATTAATGAGATTATGTGGTTTGCAGTTTATTGCACCACCTTGCATCATGAGTGGCATCTAAGAATCTTCTGTAAGAATTAAGAAAGCTGGACTCATGAAATGAGAAATTACTTACAGATAATTTACATTTATTAAGCTTTTAAAGCTCTCCGGAATTTGCCCAGTCAACTTATTAAAGCTGAGGTCTCTGCAAAGAAGGATGAATTTGAGTATTATGAAGGAGATTCTTTGTACCATGCATCATGTATGTTTAATATTTATTATGCATTTATTTTATACTGGTGATAAATATATATATAGGGTAAATTATTAAGACCCCGTTTTCATGGAGTCAGCCACAAATACCTCCTGAACTTCATCATTTGAGACGAAGTCCTCTCAGTTTCTCTATTAAATCCTTGAAAATTTCTGGCTGGATTCAATATATAGATAAAATGGTAGAGGCTTCATTTTGATAGATAGAAGTTTAAGGTTTCATTTGGTTTTTCTTGGTTTATTGATAAGAGTAGATAATTTTTATATTGTAGACATTCATGTCAGTGAAATTTAACAAGAACTTTAAGAAACTTATTTTTCTATGCCAATGAAATGATTCTTGTTATTTAAGCTGGTTTAATGTGGAGAAAATAGGGGTATTTTTGGGTCAATTAGGGTTTAAAAGAAAAGGAAAAGAAAAAGAAAATTAAGAAAAAGCTCAGGTGGGTGTTTTGGTAACTCAATTCATTCTATAATTTGATTCAACAGCTTGGGTGTATTTGTTCCAAAGTGAAAGTTCAAGAGAATAATATAGAGGGTGTTTGTAAATTACCAAAAAATTTGTGGACATAATTTATTGTAATAAGTAGGGGTGTGTAGTTGGGTTGAGGTCAACCCTAACCAGATCCAAGCTGCTGAACCCTTGACCCAAATTTGGATCGGGATGGTGCGACTTCTCGACTTCTTTTCCCAAATGTTATCATTTCCTAGACTCAAGGATTCGGGTTAATTCAATTTTAGCAATATATTAAGGGTAAAATAACATTGTTATCATGTTTTAGAAAACATTTGAATTTAAATGTAAAATTTTGACATATAAAATACTTACATTCATTAATATATGTCATATAAATATATATATTTACATAATATTTATACATACAAATATGAAGTTAAATCAGGTTTGGAATGGATCAGGTTGGTCAAGACCACAGCCCTAATCCAACCAAAAGTTAAATTGGGTTCATATACGTTTCAATCCTAACCTTAATCTGGTATTCAACAACCTGGCCCAACCCAACCCGACTATTTTGGGATAGATTCGGGCTAACCTGGCCAAAATTGAATCCCTAGAAATAGTAAATAATTCAGGCATGTTGAGATCAGGACATAGGGAACACAATCCATTGCCATCCTTATTTTATGCTCCTTGGTTCTAATCTTTTTATCTTTTTATTTATTACCCATTTACAAAGTGCCTAAATTACCAATGGTTTTACTTCCCTAAGAAATGCTCATCACTTGACTCCCCAATCTATTTTTATGTCCATTGTGCTATTCCAAATTTCTAACTGTTGCTCCCATATATGGTTTTATTTTCCATTTAACTTTTCTTAATAATGAGATCGGATTATCTGATTTTTATAACCTTTTTACTAGCTGTGGGATCAATCAATTTGTTCCACACCAGCCTTAAATGCAACTGAGAGATTGAGTGGTTGTGGCCACTGAGAGAGAGAGAGAGAGAGAGAGAGAGAGAGAGAGATACAGGGTATTAATCCCTTTCATTTCACCAAGATACTCAGGTAAACTTCCAGTGATGTTGCAACTTCTTAACACCCTACAGTAAGGAACCGGCCGGATTAATGTCAATTCAAATCACCAAATATAATACATAAAGCCTTCTATAAATTATGAGAGATGTATGAATACGTATGACCATTCAAATCAATAACTCACAAATATGTCATGTTGCCTTTCATGTTACTCAATAATGGAAAAGGTGCTTCTGGTCCATTTATATCACTGATCCTTCTGTATATGAAAGTTCCACCATGAGTGAACCACAGGATAATTGTTTCAATTACTAGAAAACTACTACCATAAGATCGAGTATGAATGAAAGAAAAGCCTTAGCTTTTTACTCACAGGTCAGTTAATTTTTCCAAAAGAGAAATCTCCGATGGAATAGGCCCTTCAAAACCACTTGCCTGCATATTTCTGTCATTAAAGTGAAACAATAAGCCAGACATTAAGAACCCTCTAGATTTCTATTTCTGAAAGGCACTCGAAATTCAAAATCAATATTTCTCACAGTCTTGTAAGGTTTTTCCAATTCTGTATAAGACTGGGTATCCTTCCAGTAAACTTGTTATCGCTTATCCGACTGCATTGACAGAGGCTTTGTTAATAATAAAAACAAGAATAATAACCACCAGAAAAGAAATTACAGATTTAAACAACATAACAGAGAAACCCCATTCCACAGAAACTTACAAGTCCATCAAGCTGACCAGCTTAGAGAGGCTCTCCGGAAACGGCCCCGTGAAATTATTTGAGGAAAGTACCCTTTAAAACACATGTATATATATATAGAGAGAGAGAGAGAGAGAGTCAAATAATTAAAAGCCTTTTGATATGGTAAAATCCTTTACACATACAGAAATAGGAGAAAATCATAGAAGTTTAAAACCCAATACAGAAGACATTATCAAAAAGGCCTTACAGTTTCCGTAGGTTGATCAGTTTTCCAAGCTCATTAGGAATATTTCCAGAGAGATTATTGACTTCGAGGGTCCTGAAAATTAATTTCAACTTTAATGGATTAATACTTTTAAAGAATTCAAAAAATTGAAGTCCAAAGAGCAAAAATCCAGAACTTACAGGTCAACAAGAGTGGTGATGTTTCCAAATTCCTTCGGGATTGGACCCGTCAAACGGTTCGCCATCAAAGAACTGCATATAACAATTCTAAGGGATTTCGGACCAGAAAAATAGCAGCTTCAGATGGGGCTAAAAATGGACTACTTTCTACTTACATGTTCGTCAATTTCATTGCACCCCATTCTGGAGGTATTGTACCGCTTAGGTAGTTGCGGCTGAGATCACTGTACGTACAAATTAATAGGTTTGCAGTTACGTTCGCTATAAGTAGATGTTTTAAAAAAAAAAACGAAGCGACATCTGATGAAGCTCTTACATTATTTGGAGGTAGGGAAGCTGGGCCAACTCCGGCGGGAGAACTCCTTGTAGACCTTCAGATTTGATGTATCTACACTCCATAAGTGGTTTTGATTTAGACTTTCTACAGCTCTATTCCTTCACGCACACATACAACGTAACAGAGCCAAGCACACACAATAAAGGTAGAGCTATAAAAACCGGGCTCACTGAGAAGGAGCACCTCAAAACCTAAAACCCACCGAGAACCAGAAGCACCTCAGAACCTAAAACTCAGTTTGGATTTGCATAATGGTCAATTCGACAGTTTCAGTTTGTTTGACAAGTATATGTAAAATCGAACCGAACCAATCCGCATACAACCCTACTCGTAGATGTGAATAGGATTCTTGTAGATGGGATATATATATCCAGACCGGCCGGTATGTTGCAGCACTCGAAAGTGGAAGATGAAATCTTGACTTCGGATTTCATACCACACACTCACCTCTCGAAAGTGGGGAATATCTTCCGTATTTGATATGTGTTTTTATTTATGGAAGATGTTTCTAATGCACGATTGCAAGTGCTGTGACTCTGTGAGGTTGGTGTGAAGATGAAATCGATCGGCCGGAACCGAATTCTGTAACCCGGCCGTTATACACGCCTTTGTTTGTTTGTAGCTAACTAATAATCTGGACAGAATGCCATGAGAGACAGAATGAGATGGGAGCCGTACATGGCGATAACGTGGCAGGTGGTGTTGCAGTAACAGGTGACGGCGTTCATGGTTTCCTTCTCGTTACTTGTGTTCCATTTGCCGCTGCAGGGATCCACGCTGAAGTCCCAGTTTTTCTTATTCAACTTCGCCGCTATCAGTTTCAGTGCTTTCACTGCATCAAATAGAAATTAATAATAAGTAGATCAAAACACGGATGTGTTTTTCTGATAATTTTAAGTTGTTAACAACCAAAAGTGAAAATTAGTGAGGACTGGCGATCGAATATATAATTTAATAAGGAAGCTCCAGAAAGCGAAAATGGAAGAACCATAGGACCTCCGGCGAAAGGAAACCAACGGAGAAGGGACTCGACTACTGGCAGTCTGGCACGACAGTGAAAAGGGTGGTCAGTACTCCACCACGTGCGTGTTGCGTCTAAGGTTCCGTTTGGTTGCTGTAAAATGGACATGCAGCTAAAGATCTCCCTGTATAAAACTGCTATCCAATTTTGTGTAGATGGTAGGGAAGATATGAATTTGAATTTTGTTCCTTCTTGATCATGCAGAAATGAGATAACTAGTGGTCCAAAAAACTCAAATACCCGATTCTACTAATAAGGTGATTATTCCGGATTTGGCCGTAGGAATGTTGCATCCGATTAACAGATCCCGCTCTCATACAACCTAGCATCGGGAATATCTCCCCATGAAATAAAGCACAGTTCGGAGATATTCCCAAACCCAATGCAAGACTGTAAAGTCTGTTAGAATGGGCGGAGCCGAACTCGCAGCGGATTTAATAAGGCAGAATGAGGATGTTTTGGCCTTTTGGGGATCGATGGGTTCTTTTACAGTAAACTAGTGGGAGTTTATGCTACATTTGTCTAATTTCATGCAATCTAAGTCCATAATATGTGTATCAAATGTTAGATTCTCAATCTTATTGATTGAAATAACAAATTAAATAAGGGATAGAATTGAAAAAAAAAGGTCAGGGTCTGTTGGCCATTTTTAAATATGAAAAAATAGTAAAGTCAAGGCAAAGATATAATGTCTAAATTCAGCATTTCAAAGTATATGGAAGCAAAGTTTTCAAAATTGAACATTGTACAAGTTTGACATAGAACATTTATGTTAGTGAATATAGAAATTAATTCAAACAAGAGGATTGAATCAAGTGAACCAGTTGGTTTACCTGAGACATTTGTTACCACACTATAATACAATCTTGAAGGGGAATAAAGGCACTACAAATGTTTTGAGACATTTGTTAATTTTCTGGAATTTTATATAATATAGTTTGTTGGTTTACCTTTCAAAAAAATGTTTTAAGACATAAATAAAATTTTGGAGAGTTCATTAATAAGATTTATGATCTGGTGAAGACACAAAGAAACATACCCTGTTTTATAATGATAAAGTTGATAATAAGTTACCTTTGTTCTTTATTAATAATTAGTTACGCTTTATCTCCCTATTAAAAATGGATGTGCTTAAACAACCAGTTGGACTTAAACAAAGAATTTGTAATGCATTTACACTATAGGCTCAGTTTGGAAGGAGTACAAATACAAATGTGTAGAGTGCAAACCCTTATATTTTGTATTGTTTTGTATATATTTTGTAATGTACGTATTTGTATTTGTAATCATTCCAAACGGAGCCTATGAAAGGAGTTCAAATACAAGTATGTAGAGTACAAAACATTGTATTTTTGTATGTATTTGTAGTGTACATATTTGTATTTGTATTCTTTCTAAACTGAGCCATAAGCACGAAAGTAAAATAAAAACATCAACTTTGAGCTGCATGAGAGACATCAAGTCATTTAAGTATATATATGTACAGAGAAATCTTTATTAATTACATTTATTGATAACTCTAATTCATATGTAATTCCAATGACATAGAAGGAATCGAGGCGGAGCCCTTACCATTGCAAGATAATAGATTGTTCGTTATTGTAATTCAACTTTTGATTTGATCTACATTTTCTCTCAAGACAAGACACGATAGCATGAATATAAAGACTATCTTAGATAATGGCAAATCAATAACTGATGTCAATTATAAGATATATAGCTAGGGTCAATACCACATAGTTCTATAGGTTCTCAAATTTAGAGTTAGTTCCAAATATAATAGCACAATATAGTTAAGATGATAGCTCTCCATTTTTTATTGTTATTATTTAAAAGTTCATCATCTTTATAAGTTCAAAATGAAAGGTTGAAAAGTGTTAGAATCCAACAATAGTAAATACATTTTTTTATTTATTTATTGTGCAGTATAAAAGATCATTGCATAAGCTTACATGAAGTAGAACGAATTGACTAATTTTTCAGGTTCTACAGTGTCCTGAGATGTCCAATGAGATGAATAGAGTAAAAGATCATTTTGACAACCTATGGTTGGTTTTGGTGGCATGACTACATTGTTTCCGGTACATAAGATGCTGAACCATTTCCGAATGCTCGAGCCTTAGTTATCTTATTGGAAGCATAGAAAGCTTATGAAGAAAGTGTTGAAGATTAGAAGTCAGAAGAAGCATGCTCATTTTTATTAATGGTTATAGATAGAATAGATATAGAAAAGCTAATAATTAAAATAAAATTTAATACACAATTCTAAATACTAAAATTCTAAAGCTAATATACAAGATTTTTTCTTGTGCTTTCAACACCTTCTTAGCTTGTAATTCAAAATTTTGTGGTTTTGTTGCTTATTAAATTAGTTCAATAGTTGTAATTTGAATTTTCTAATTAAATTCTAACTTTTTATTATGTTTATATATTTATTTTCTTTATATTTTTTGATTTGTTGATTTCAAGATGATTTCTTGAAAATAATAAAATTGTTTTATGCACTCACCAAAATGTTAAGTGGCTTTCCGTTTTTCATTGAGTGTTTTTATTGTTATTGACTACTTGATTAAGTAAAATACATTATTTATTGCGCGTTTTCTATTGTTTTTAATGATCTAGATATTTCCCCTTTTTTTTAAAAAAAAAAAAAAATTGGATATCCATGATTTTTGACTTGTTAATTACCAAAGGGTGGCTAGGCCAAGGCAGGTGAATTGGGCAGGGAGTTGGCCAGGTGGGTGGTTCGGTAAAGGGCACAAGGAAGGTAGCCGAGTGCAAGCAGGGTGGGCTGGGCTTTGGGAAGGCCCAAGCAAATGGTCTAGGCAATGGGTAAGAGGTGCAAGTGATCGAAGTTGTGCAAGTGCTTGCATACACTAGGCAGGTCATGGTATGTGCTTATGTGAAGGTCCCATTTGGGACTTTTCTTCATTATATAGGTCCCCCATTCATGTCTTTCTAGCATCATAGTCAAACTCTTTAATAAATCAAAAGTTCAACTTCAACTGTTCAAATAAACGAACAACCAAATTCATTCAATTCAAGTATTCTACAGTCTTGGAATCTGATTCTTCTAACCACTATTGGTTGTTGGGCAATGCTCAATCTTCCAAGACAATTTTGGACAGTGAATAAGAACAAAAAAATAAAATAAAAAATCTGGTTCTTCAGAGTTGTTACCTGTGCAAATCTCTGGTTCCACAATTTCGGGGTTTTCTTCTAGGCAGTGTTCAAACTGATTCCAAGTGCTGGTTCTAGGTAGTGGGTATTAGATTCTTTAATTGAATCTTGGTTCAGTTATTTTCTTTCTTCTTTTATCTTTTATTTTGCAAATAAGTACGTAATAATAATACAGGTTATAAGTATAGACTTGTAACTATTTCATCAAACCCACAAAGGGGACCAAAACCAGCCACCTTTTCCCCAATGTCCACAGCACATACTAACATTTTTGTCAAACCATAGGGCTAGCTACGGGTGTCATTTGGATTGGACTTGGTCCAATCCGATTCAGTCCAATGTGAGTCTATTTACTAAGCTTAATCTAATCCAATGAATATTTTGGACCGGTCCAATTCAATGTCTAGACCATCCAATCTATTCAAATTTGTTTTGATTTAGATTGGTTTCAACTCAAACCCGGTCTATTGACGCTTATATTCTTATCTTATATCATTGGATCAGATATTGGCTTAATCTAACTCAATTCAATATAAATTTATTATAGACAGACCAGGTCCAATCCAATCTAATAAATATTTTGGACTGCATTGGCCCAATCTAATATGTCTTGTTGATCCGTCCAATCCATCCAAATTGATTTTGGACTGGACAGGGTCCAATCCAAAACCGGTCCATTGACACCCTTACCCCTAGTTCCGCCCCTAGCTTGCCCCTGTATAGATTGATATCAGATGCATTTATATAAAGTTTATGATTAGAGATGTGATATTTTATATAAAGTTTATGATATTTTATATTCATAGACATTTATTATATAAGTTAAAATAATTAGTTTTTTAAAACTTTTTTGTGTCATTATATGATAAGATGAACATATATAAAATTCAAATCTGATCTGAATCCAATATATCATATTTGGATCCAAAAGGTTTGGTACATAACCGGACTGGATGCCAGTGTAATTGGAGTCTTGGATCTGAATCAGATCTGATTACAGCCCTAGTTTGACGTGGCCAAATTTATGGCCTTGTCATTAGAAACTGGTAATATTGAAGCTCGTCTTCTAAACAGGAACTTATAAAATTTGGGCCATCTACATAAAAAAGGCCCAAGTAGTTCTTCAACCCATGTTATTCCTAGTCGGATTCTGAGAGGAGGAAATTTGGCCCGGGTAAGTGATATTATTTCTGTTGCTGATGCAGGAACCCTTGTTTGCATTACGCAACGATTTGAGAGGTGTGTTTGGTATTATTGTTGTTTTCATATGATGTTTTGAGGCAATTAATTAATAAAAATTGATGAAAAATATATGCTGACAGTCTGACACGTTATGTATGAGTCACTCCAATAAGAAAAATTCACATATTGGGTTGATCATCGACATTTATGTGAAAATCATTTCGGCAATTTATCGATTAATTATCCAAAATGCTTTAGCAATAAGGCGGTGTTTGGTTTGAAAGAAAAAGTAAAAAAACACAGCCTAATGATATCAAACACAATCTTAACACGAAAAAGAATTATGCAACTGAATTGACACTGTAGGGTTGATAATTCATGAGTTAATCGAAAGCGACCAATAAACACTAAAACAGATCGGTCAGCTTAATCACTTAACCGACTAAATGTTCCCTTGCATGTATTGATTATTATTAATTTTCTTTGCACGAACAAACCAAGTAAGAATGGGCCGGATAGTGAATCTGTTACAAGTATATATGTACCTGGGCTTGGGTAAAGCGGGCTTTCACCTCTCCTATAATATTTTATATTTTGAATTCTTTTATTAAGTAAATTTATTTTTCAAAAAAATCTGTTAATTAAATAACTTTAGGGATTTTGATTTTGACGAAGAATTTATTAGTACAATTCATTATTTATTTTAAATTATTATAAATGTATCTTTGAGGGGTCAAGTCATAAAATTTTCTCTTTATCATTAAAAATAAAAAAGAAAATTAATTAATAAAATCAAGAAGAGAAGATGAAGAAGCTGTGGCAATTCCGGTCATTTGCAACCTGCCGTTAACTAACAATTTGCCATTACTGTTTCGACTGAAAGCTTTGGAATAGGATTTTAGTGAGGTTTTTTCTCATTATTAATTGTTTTACAAAATTTTATGTTAGGTGTAATTAGAATGAAAGGTTTGAGTAGACGGTTGCAAGTTTCTCTCCTCTCTACTAATCCAATTAAAATACACCACCAAATGTTACCTCCGTAAAATATTACTTTTTCAAAACAAAATATTTATTTTTTATTACCGATTAAACAGTCCCTTACACTGCTATCAACTTCAGCCAATCCAAGAAAACAAAAATCATTCAAACTTCAAATCGATCAAACAAGTTTTTCATTCTAAAACAAAAGATTCTAGCAGAAAGGGGGGCCGGGGGAGCAGCTTTACCTTCTTCATCCGGTAAGCGTTGGGTTTCGGATCTCAACTCTACGAAGCAATGCAACACAGTAACAATGAGAAGAGCAGCCAACAACTTATGTGGGTTCGCAAGATTGGTTACCGAAGCCATCTTCCCTCTCAGTACTCTTTCAATCTCCAACTCGTTAAGGAGAAGTAGTGAATATAAGGACGGTTGATCAGGCAACCAATTGAGTTGGGTCTTAAGTTTCAGAAACAACGCGGCAACGTATGAATAATCAAAGGGCTGAGGAGGGCAGAGAGAGAAAATAGCTCAAAAGATGATTAAAAAACGAGAGAATTCAATAGGAGTTCGGATTTTGCTTACCTCAACACATTGCACATTTGGAACATCGTTATATTTTACATCGCTGATATTCTTAATGTACGGCTGGATGAATGAGGTCAGCAATATATTGTAGTCGGTAGATCCAAACTGGAGCCATGAGTGGTCAATTAGGCAGACTTGGTCAACGCTAAGCCGATATCAAACGGAGGCAACAACCCCTCAACAAACCTACGTATCAAAAAAAAAAAAAAGAAAAAAACTCAAAAGAAACCAGTGCGCTGTTTGCCTGTTTCTAATTACAAGCAACGCTAGACTCTTTATTTTATTGAATTGATTGCCAATCATGCGAAAATAGAATAAGTTAAATCTTAAAAAGTCAGTTTTGCCTGATTGGAGGTTTTTTCAGAAGTCACATCTGCGTTATCGGAGAGAAATTAAACTCTGCATCATGATTTATGAGAGACCACCGATGACCTAGTAGTGAGATTAGGGGTGGAAGCAAATCGAGTTTTTCATGACTTAATATTGTACCATTGATCATGAAAAGCTCAATTCAGCTTAGTTTAAATTGAGTTTCGAGCCGAGTTTGAGCCTAATACATAGGCTTATTTGTTAATTGAGTCGAGATCGAGTCCAATGAAGCTCATGAGGTTGTGAGCATAATACATACATATATAAATATATATATAATTTTTATTATATGTATAATAGGATTATATATAATATTTTTATTTTTTTTCAGTGTATGATAATAAATCATTTTTATAATTCTTAATTCTTTTTATGCAAAATAAAGAAATAATTTTATATGTATAATTTTTATTTTTATAGAAAGCTTGGCTCACAGTCAAGCTCGAACTTATGAGCTTTTGAGCTGATCTAAATTTCAGCTCAAATCATTGAACTCAAGCTCAAGCTCGAGCCTAACATTTTTTAGGTGAGTTAGGCTTGAATAGCCAATATTCGGTTATACTCGACTCAAATCCCTCCTTAGCTGTGTTGCTCACACGATGTCTCTTCTAATTAGAGGTGTTCATTATACAATCCAAACCTCACTAAACTAGACTAAAATTAATAGTTTGAGAATTTTTCAAACCATTATTTTCCGGTTTGGTGTAGTTTATTGAATTTTAGAAATCAAACCAAATCGTAAATTGAATTATTAATAATATATTTATCAACATATATAATACATATAGTTAAACATACATACGTACATACATACATACACATGTGTATGTGTGTGTTCATTTAACATTTAAACATATTCCATATGTAAGTATGGTGGTGAGGCTATATGAAGCGGTCTCCTTAAATGATGAAGATGAGGTAGGACTTAGGTTAAGGTTGTAGGTCGAGTTTGTGAGTGTGCTTTTGGTCTCTAAGGAGTTTTGGGAGGTCTCTAGTGATGATAACGATAATGATCATCTTCCTTCCTGATGTCATATTTTGTCCCCCTTTATAGGGAGGATCCAAAAACTATAACGAGAAGGATGTAAAAGGAGACGAATCCTATTAGGAAGGGGATCTTTTTCCTCATGTTGGCTATAATGGGAACACCATTGATTGGGACACCACGACTGTAGTTAGAAGAGGAAGGTTTGGCGATCTTTGCATTCTGTCGAGGTGATAGGAGTGGTTGGTGTCTATTCGTCAAAGTTGGATGTCGTTCAGAGTTCAGTATCATGTAGCAAAGGGGTTCTGTGACTATGGCTATGAGAGCATGGATTGAAACGCTTGGTTAGTTAGTGAGTTCATTTAATAACCCTTAGAACAAATCTTTGCTTATGAGAGTGTGGAAATTTTGTTGCATCGAGTTTTTGGACTTCGAAGTTGTTGAGGGTTGATCTTTCTCATGGAGCTCAAGAATTGAAGGATTGTGGGTAGGGGTGCAAATGGATAGGATCGAATTCAAATCCAACATCACACTGTATATGTTGGATCCGATCCGATTGGATCTAATAGGACTCGATTTGAATCTGAATCCTATCAGTAAATCGGATCTTCAAATCTGATTTGATCTGACTTGTTTTCTTTAAAATTTAATAAATTATTAAATGACAAATAAAATATACTAATTTAAATAAAGTAAAAACAAAAAAAGACAGGTATTTTTTAATTATTTTCATCATATATACATGTTTTTATAAATAAATAAATAATATAACAAATTTATAAAAATATAATATAAAAATATATTTATAAATAAATAAATAACATATATATATGTATTAAATATATATATATATATATATATATATATATATATATTTATAAATATATAATATATATCGGATCAGATAGGGAGTTATTCGAATCCGATCTAATTTCTTATTATTTTATTCGATTCTATTCAAAGATCCGATCAAGGAATTCGACCAAATAAGATTAGTTCTCGGATCAGATCAGATCATGATCCGATCCATTTGCACCCCTAATTGTGGGTAGTAGCACTAAGTGAGGAATATTGTTAGTAACGCCTTTGTTTAGTGGTGTATTGGGCAAAGGTGTTATAAAAATGCAAACCAAAACCACTGCTTGGGTCGACGGGTTGACGATTCGAATGCCTAGGTCAGCGATTCTTTGACCAAATCAACGATTTCTGACCTAGGAACGGGTTAAGGGTGAAATAGAACTAGTTGCCTAGATGGTTTTTTGGGTTGAACGGTTCAACCGTCCAGGTCAACAATGATTTGAAAACACTTGTAAGCACGTACCAGAACTGGATCAGGTAGGCACAACATTGTAAGCACATTCAATGAGCACTTGAAAAGTTTTTGACACCTGCCCCTTAAAATACCCCCAGCCTACTTGAAAATGATTAAAAACCACTTTTGACAATTGTCAGAATATTTATCAAGTGCTCGTTGAGTGTGCTTACTATATTGTGCCTACTAGATCCGGTCATGAGTTTTTAATCAATTAAAATTCAAAATCCCCACCCATGAGGTGGGACCAAATTGGTAGGCACAATATAGTAAGCACGTTCAATGAGTAATTGATAAATGTTCTAACAACTGTCAAAAGTGGTTTTTAATCTTTTTCAAAGGTAGGCTGGAATATTTTAAGGGACGTGTCAAAATTTTTTCTAAGTGCTCATTCAGTGAACTTACAACATTGTTCCTACCTGACCCGCACTACCACTACCATGGAGCTCTATGACATTTCCAATTACGTGGTGCCCATCTAAGTCCAATTAATTCAAGTATTACTTTTTGGGTTATGTCTAATTTATTCGATCACAAAATAAGTGTCTCATTAAAGAGAATGGCTGATTTTCTATGTTTAGATAATTTATATTATTTTTTGTATCTTAACGCTAACATTTTATTAACTTTTATTGGTTTGTTATTATTTTTATATTATTTTTAGGTAAAATTATACAAAATCTCCTCTCATAACAATTCTATAAACCACCTTTGTGTTTTGGCCCTAATAAAGTGCAAATGTCTCCTTTCCCTTAGCTTTCCATTTTAGTAACAAAGACATTTTAGTTACCAAAATATACTTATTGTTGTTAAGGCATTATCCTACACAATTTAAAGTTTCAACTTTACCCTCCACTAATCTATTTTGCTAGACATTCAAAGAGTAATTATCCCTATTCTTCTTGGATGGAGTAAGTTAAAAATGCTGAAGTGAAGTTAAAGGAGGCAAATCTTTTTTTCAAGGTATTTTAATAAATTTACATGTGAATTAAGTTTATTAAGGATAAATTTGTTATTTAAAAAAAACAATGCATTACATTAGCATTTTTTATTTGGAATGCTAACAACAGGGGGGTTTGTTAATGTCAAAACACGAAGGAGTTTCATAGGATTGTTAGAAAATCCAAAGAGACTTTTATATTTTTCCTATTTTTAAATTGAATATAAATTCATTTTAAATTAATTAAATTATAGTAAATTAAAAAGTTTTATTAATTTTTGCTTTTATTAAGCATTATTAAATTTATTAACAATATTAAGTTTTTATTTTTCAGTGGAACTTAAGTTGGTTTTAAATTAGTAAAAATTAATTATAAAACTAATAATTGTTAGATAGTTTTGTATTAGTTCTATGTTAGTTAAATTGATATTAGTTTTAATAAAACTATATTAATTGAATTATTTTTATTATATTAATAAAAATATTTTTATCAATAACAATAATTAATAATTATTTTTATTTTATTTAAATAACTTACAAAATTATTTTTTAGCATGGTTAATTAGTTTTTATTATTTTCAAATGAAATATAAACGGATATAATTGTTATGACGTTTTATTCAATGTTTTCAACTTATCATTAACTCAAATAGTTGAACCATTCAACTTATCATTATCACCACATACAAGCCACAATAAAAAAACTATAGGTTTTACGGCTTTGCAGTCGTCTAACTAGTAGTACTCACCTAAGGAGGATCATGGATTCTCTGTACAGAGGGCAGCCATGGATATTCTTCACCTTTACACCTATACCGTAGATGCCTTTCCTAAGATATAAGACAAAGCAAATAAAGCAGATTCATGGCCTAGGGAACAAAAAAGCTAAAAAGCTGATCTTACAAGCATAGAAATCAAAGTGAATATGTTCCCTAGATTTTGACTCGAACCCTTAACTACCTTAGAGAGCTCTTAACCACCTAGGGAATCTTTTAGAATTCTTGCCCATGCACAAAGTGAACCCTCCTCTCATCTATAAAAAGTAGGGTTCATGATGTGAAAAAGGGACAATTCCATCATTTTACAATTCCACTATTCTATCATATTCATTCTGTTCGAACTTTAGTCATTCCTTGACCATTTTAACCATAGCATAATTTTGTCTTTCATTCTTT